CAGGAAGAGAAAGGCAATCTTACCAATTCAAGCACTCATTTAGAAAAAGTTTCAGTGTTAATAAATCCTTCAGTGAGGAGGAAAAAGGAGCAGCTACTCCTTTACTGCTCCTGACATAAGGCATGAGTATCTATGGTTACATCCAGGGCTGCCCTGGGGCTAAGGTCTGTCAGCGCTGGTTGATATTATGAGCAACTCATATAATTACCAGTTTTTGCATCCTTAAAAACTCCTGTCGTCCTCTGTGAAGCAGAAAATGTCACTAAAGCCTTTTGAGGAAAAGGTTAATTTTTGAGCAACCTGGTCTGGTGGAAAGTGTCTCTGGCCATGGCAGGGGTTTGGAACTAGATGGTCTCAGAGATCCCTTGCAATCCAAACCATACTATGATTCTGTGCTCAAAACAAGGCAAAGCAGATGAATTCATCCTCTAAATTACATCACAGGTAAGAAACAGCTGTGTTCACATACTAAACACAAAATCAAGGGCCACATGTCCTGCCAGGAGCTGCCTGATCATCTCCAGCTGGATTTCAGAAGTACCTTCTACAGCCACAACCAGAAGCCAGTGGTGATGTGTGAGGATAACCAAACTGATGGATAAAGGCACTGGGATTGCTCTTTAACTGCTCTGCAGCTTGAATAAAATCACAGCATCACAGGGCAAGAGGGAAGTCTTTTATCCATAGTCCTGTCTGTAGAACACACCAAAAAATTCCCAAGCCCAGGTGCTACTTTCAAACCCATCTGTGAAGAATCAACATCTGCCCAGAGCAGCACAGCAGGAATCCAAATCTCCTGGCTGTGTCCTCTCATTGCTCAGCAACAGCAAATTAACAAAGCACAGACTACTAGACACAATCAATCCCTGTTTGTCTTTAAGGACAACTGCCTCATATCTAAAGGCAGGAATTCCCCTAGGAACTCAATCATTACAGTACTGCACTGCGACAGAAAGTGCTTGTAAGTGACACTGAGTCCTCCATGATCACAAGCAGCTCCTGCTTTTTGGGAAAATGAATAGGGTTAGTCTTGCACCCAGAGAAGAACATGTTACCAGTGCCAGATGCATCCATACATGGACCTCAGCTGTGTGGATGTTCTTGCTCTCTTTCAATTTTTAGAGAATTTAAAATCATTTTTACAACTCTGGGAGTAGCTAATCTAACACTTTTTATGAAGGACAAGAAAATCAGCAACAGTCAGCTTGGATTCACTGAGGGGAAGTCAGGCTTGCCCAGCTCAACCTTCCACAATGAAAGACTGGCCTGGCAGAGGAGAGCTGTGGGTATTGTCTCCCTGGACTTCTGTAAGACTTCCAAACATTGTCATCTGTGAGAGCCTCCTCACAAAGAAGCTCTTGAAGCTGCAGGAGCAGACACCAAAAGCTCTCTGAATGCCTGATCCCATGATCAGTGGCTCAAGGTCTGGCTGGAGGCCAGGAGCTGTTGGTGAACTCCAGGGGTCAATGCTGGGTCCAGCTCTCTTTAATACCTTCATTAAAGCAAATTTGCAGATCACATGGACTGGGAGAAGTGGCAGCTACCTCAGAGGCTCATGCTGCCACCCAGAGGGACCTGGGGAGGCTGGGAAGAGGCTGGCAGGAACATCATGGAGCTCAATGAGAAGTGCCAAGTCCTGTACCTAAGGAGGAGCAATCCCAAGCAGGAACATGGGATTAATTCAGTGTAACACAAGGTGAATCTTAGTCTTGCTCAGGGCCTCTTGCACCAAGTGCTGTGAGGACTGAAAGTTCTCACTCCCCCATTAGGCTTCTGCTTGTGGATCAAGAAGGATCTGAGAGTGTAAGATCCTCTTTGAAACCTTCCATATTTTTCTTTCTATCTTTAAGAAAACTGTATGATGTTAAAACACGTATTTTCTCTTGCACAGAAGGGTAAGATACCCTGACATACTCAAATTTCCCACAGGAGCCTGGTTTCAGATAAGCCTCTCCTAAGGCAACCACTTACACAGACTGCAGCACACGAACTACACCTTCTTCTTAAGTTGCTTCAGAATCCAAAGCTCAAGGCTAAGAGATTCTACAATTTTCTGTTGCCACAATAAAAAGCAGCTCCACCGGGAATGTGGGTTTTGGTTGCAGAGTTGCAAGTACAGGGGAATAGGGTGTAATCCCAACTCTCCAAACCACCTTCTTCATGTCCTTGGGCAAGACATTTCTTGTACCTGCCTCCCTCCCTCCATGGCTACTCAGACAGAAAGTTCTTCGGGGCAACAACTCTCACCTTTCATGTGACAGTGGCAAAGCAAACTTAAGATTTTGACAATAATAATGTTAAAAATGTTCCCTGCAAGCTCCATGTCAAATCAGATTTTAGTGACTTTACTGAGCAGGCAAAGTAATAAACTGACAGATGAAATTCAACATAGGTTAAGTGCAGAACAGTGCAGGTGAGAAAATAAATCATAACCCATGTGCTTAACGATGGGCTCTGAAATAGCTGCTACAGCTCAAAAACACCTTGGGGTTTTAACAATTAGGAAGGTAATCAAGTCACTAAATCCCCATTAAAATAGTAGCCAGTGTTCTGAATTAGGAAGAGAACAAGGCAGTGATGCCACTGTGCAAATCCCTGTTCTTAATTAAGACCTCAGGATTGCTAATGCACCAGGCACCTCATTCAGCCCTGGGCTGACACGTCCTACACGTCCCTCTCAGCTTCCTGGTGGCTTCAGGACACTCAAATCTCTCTAAGCAGGTATCTAATCTGAATTCCCAGAAGCAATGAACAGTTCATACTTAGCCCAAGAGGAGATGCAGTTATTCAATGCATTAGAGAATCACAGCACTTACACAGGTGCTTAAGCCAAGGAATTAAAGCTTAAATTCAAGAAATCATACCTGAAAAACACCCTGTGCTTCACCTGAAGCACTATAACCAATCTTGCACTGCCAGTAAGGTAAATGTTCCTAACAGCCCATCATCCTCTTCACTTTCTATGAAATTAGAACCTTTTAGGGCACCACACAAAAAGATAAACAAATTATTGCTTCAGACCAGTCACCACAAATGTACATGGCACAATGAGGTGGCTGCACAATATCCAGGGCTCAAAGAAAAACCAGCAAATAAAACTTGGTAACTGCAAAGAGCTCCAAATTAAGTGCTGCTGAGCCTTTGGAAAGGACACTCACTGATGAAACAGAGGAGAAAACTGGATGTGTAAGCAGGAAGAGCTGGAGGTGTTAGATAAAAAGTTACTTGAGAAACTACTAGAAATAGAAGTCAGTGGCAAGATTCCAGAGGAGGCCAATGCTCCAGCAGAGAAGTAAATTCAGAACCAAATTTTTCAAGGCGTGCAAGATACAAACAATGAGTGTTGAAAAACAGGGAGAAGGTGCATTTGCAAAAAAATGCTTCCTGCAAAGGAGACAAACAAAGTCTGACCACAGAGCTCAGTGAGTGTCTGAACCTTTGCAGGTTTCCACAGCTGTGCAGGTTTGCTTGCATCACCTGCTTACACACCTGGCTCCACTGTCACGCGTTTGTGCAGCCTCCACCACACAGATGGAATTCAGGGGATGCAAATCTGCTCCAGGTTTGCTTGCTTCAGTGTCCCCATAAAAAACACTGCATTTATAGCATGAATCTCCTGCATAAAATACTAAATGAACAAATCCTCTCCCCTACATTTTCACGGATAAACTTTACTCCTGTCTTCAACCACAATAAGGATTCTCAAAATAAAATGGTTCAAAAGCTGCCAATAAAGCCAGTCTCAGCAAATGGAAAACCTTCAAGTTACCAGACTGGAAGCTCAGAAACTGGTGCTAAAAAGCAGAACAGCTGGTTAAAGGCACACAAAACAGCCTGTGTACCTCAGGAAACTCTTACAGCCTAGTCACTCAAGAGGTATTTGCTGAAATAAGAGCCATAAATATATCACATTGCTTAATGCCAAGTCCTATTTCAAACTAAGTTCAGATCACACTCAGTCTGTTACCAGTGGTTAAATTTTCTACAGCAGCCACTCAAATTATTTGAGTACTACAAGCAAACCTATGCTTATTCATAGCAGGCTAATCTCTCTGTTTTACTACACAGCAGCAAAGGCCTTAAAGTGTTGCTCAAAGACAAAACAAAGAGCAGAGGCAGGAACAGAATCTAGATTCTGTTTTTGCCCCAAGTCCTGTGGTTTTGGTGTCAGGCCTGTTCCTCAACTCTGCTGCAGTGAGGGTGGATCAGAGAATGTGCCAACTCGTGGTGCAGAAGTGCCCAACTCTGAGGGACTGCCCTGCACAACACAAGAGCACAGTAAGGAAGCCAACACACAGCAGGTAAAATACCAGTTTTTTAAAAAAGAATCTGTTTTACAAGCAAGTGTTTGTACAGAGGTTGGTGGAACACAAGCAGACAAAATAAGCAGAACACAAGACCCAAGGGTTTGTCATAGAAATCTGCAGCCAAAAGTCAACAAAAGGGCAAGAACTGGAGATATTCACAGCGCTGAACTACAGGTCTGCCCCCCCTCCCCCCCAGTCCATGTGTGTAACAGGAAGAAGACATCCAGCATCAGCTTTCAAACAGCTAAAATGCCCTCAGGATTCACAGCCACTTCAGTATCTCCACAGTTCTGGGTGCAATGAGGCACAGAGACAAGTGCCACTATTGCAGAGTCCCCTCTTGCCAACTCTGTCAAAAATTGTTCCCAGTCAAAAAGCAAACATAAAACCAGGAGCAGAGAGCTGTGTACTATTTCACATCACGTTAAAACTAAGAGTAGTAGTGTTTAGTAGTTTAGTTTGTCAGCTCTTCAGGTTTTCATGGGAACTTCCCTCCATGGCCTCCTACTTTGAAAACTTCTACAAGCACTCCTTCCCAAAAGAAAGCCTAGCCCTGATGATATTTGACCTCAAATATAGAAATATAAACAGAAAGAGCAAATGACAAGTTTGAAATGATTAAACAAAGTTAGTTGCCTACGTGTGAGTTAGAGATTCTGACAGCTGGCCAGATACAGGAATGAGTTTCCCTTCTCCCTACTAATGACCTGAAATCAGTTATCCCTGGATATTCCCAGCACAGACTGCCCAACAGCACAGAGTCCTGCTAATAGTCCATTAAATTCCCTCCTCTTTCCATTTCCCTGGATTAGACATGGATTTTCTTTTGCTCTGGGAAGACAGACTCAATCCTTGTTATTTCAGTCTCCATTCTGGCACAGAAGCTTTGTCCTGGAGTCAGGAGAACAAACCAGCTGCAACTGTCCAATGACCCAAAGCACTGGTGCAGAGATGAAGACTCAGGAGAGCAAGGCTCTAACTCTAGGAGAGACCATCAGGGAAGAGAAGATCATAGCACACAGTCCTTGTCCAAAAGCTTCACACTTATTGTGGATCCAGCACAGGGACTCCATGATGAAGCACCAGAACAAAGAAAGCAGGAATACAGACAAAGCATCTCCTCAGCAGTGGGTTTTCAACAGAGCAAAGTCATCTGAAAGCTCAAAAAAACCAGGATCCCCAGAGCAGAAAGCGGAAATGTGCAATTCAAAACTACACAGACGTGAATTTTACTTTCAAAGGGCTTTATATTACAAAAAAACATAAGTCACAACGAATGTGTAAAATCCATTCAATGAGGCTTGTTTCCAGTCTGCTAGGAAAGCTACTTTTCTCTTCCTTATTCCCAGCCTACTGCTGAAAACGTGATTGCCAAAACAATGACACCTCGAGCTAGATTTTTAAAATCAAACTTGTTCCGCCAGATCCAGCACTCTGAACTTGTCCAGGTTGTAGAAACAAGCCTTCACCACTCTGCCTCCAAAATATCTTCCATTTAGATCCACAACAGCTGGAATTGAAACAAAGAGCAGATCAGCAAGCAGCAATTCAATAAAATAAACATCTCTTTAACTAAACAGCCTGACCAGTGAGACTGTTTAATCTCTCTACAGAAGCCAGCTCTGAGCTTCACAGGACACAATTTAGGATCCTACCTTTGATGGCAGATTCAACCCGTTCAAACTCTAAAAATATTCTTACAGCTTCATCATCAGGGGCACCAGGGATCTGAAACGAAACAAAAACCCCAAGCCACAAGGAATTAAAACAATAGTGAGAACATTGTTTTCAATTGCTGTCCTTCACAAAGGCAGTGAAGAACAAAATAAAAAGGTTCCAAAACCACAATACTCTAGTGATTTTTGCACATTTGCTATTGTTAGAAGCTTGTATCTTACAGATAATCCAGAATTCCAGCACAGTAAAGGACCCTGAGAGATCTTCTATGTATGCCTCTCTTAGGCAGTAACACTCCAGTTGTGAGGGGAGTTTACTTTCAGAACAGCCAAAAAGAGACAGATTAACTCTTACCTCGAAGATGACACATTTCCCAACCTTGCCATATTTCTCACATTCCTCCTTAGTTTCAACTTCAAGGTCTTCATCCACCTCCCCAGCACCAACCATATTCTGAAAGTCAAAGAACAAAGCCAACTCACTGGATGGAGTCTGTGCAGGTGATTGTTGTGGACAAATCACAGATGCTCTGTGAACTGTGACCACAAATACTTTTAAAGCTCAAGAGCTACAGGAGGAGACAGTTCCCTGTCCCCAAGACAAGGGAACTGCACAATTTAAAGCAGTGTTGATTTAAAGTCACAGCTTGTACCTCAGGAAGTCACATAATTTCTCCAGAACACAATACCACGTGGGTGCAGGCCAGAACCATTTGAACTGTGCAGAGTTTTGTATCAGGAACAGAGGTTTAAACATTTCAACACCAAGACACATTCCCTTACAACTCACCCTCAGTAAGACCACTTTAGTTGGGCATTTCAGGATCTCAGTTAAGGGGTTGGAATCCGCCTTCTTGCCCGTTTCTGTTTAAAGACAGAACAGTGAATCATGGTACAATTTAAAATTAAAGCTCAATTAGGGACTTTTATCAGACTCTTATTGATCAAACAATGGAATAAAAGCCACAAAATGTACTTTCATATTGGTGAGGAACAGTTATTCAGAACTTGTAGCTACCTGGAATGGCAGTAAGCAGAAAAATCAGTTCCAGTGGTGTGAATTAAGCAGTAACACTGACAATGTACCACTTCTTTGAGGAAAATAATTCCTAAGTTCAGAATTGTGTCATAAGAACTACAAGACTAGAAGTATTCTGACTTCCATCACTTGTGCTCAGAAGCCTGATGTTATCTCAAGATCAGACAAGAGCAGGGAAATGAGAGCAATATCAACAGGGAAAAAGCCATCTGAGCAGAGCAAGATCAGCCCTGGAAGTGAAGATGCTTCCCCAACACTAAAGGAGGACAACTGATGGAGCAAGGGGAGGATGAGCTAAAAAAATTGCATACAGGATCACTTTACAAAAAGATTAAAAAACCGTAAATTTTCACAAGAACAAATATGAGTCATTTTTCCAACTCCAATGTGTTCAACAAGGACAGATGGTAAACAGAAACCCAGCAGCTTCATTTCTCACACACTTGGTGCAGGACACAATTACCTTTCTCTGTAGATTCACCAACAATGATCTTGCCACCCCTCTTGCTTGTTTTCTCTACTGACAGTGCTGTGCTGAGCCCCTGTTCATGCTTGCCCAGCCCCTGGCCCTCTCTGAAACCATACTTCTGCATGATTTTGTGAGCTACTGTCCCCCTGCAATGAGAAAAAAAAATCATAAAGGTTTCTTCCACAAAACATTAACACTGCATTTCTCCTGAGTGCTCCAATATCCTACCTCCTAAAACTTCCTTACACAGGGGCAGAAAGCATAGGAGCTTCTACAAGTTACATGATTTTTTTCTACAAAAAAGGCTAAAAAGTCTGGCTATATAATGCTGAAAGATTAAAGCACTAAGCCACAGAAGAAACAGCCAATTGTGTGGTCAAAGTAAGGCAGGTCAGGTCAGATTTTTAGCCCTTCCTTCAATGAAGTCAGGGTTCCATGGTACTACTAATTAGAGGTGGTAGCAATGCACAAGCTGGTCCAACAGTAGCAAGTTTGGTTATCTTTTTCTGGACAATTAAAAAAACCCCACCAAACTCAAAAATTAAGTCTCTAAGCTGTTTTTAGGTACAGATTCACCTTCATTTGTTGCCATGGTAATTAACACAACATCTCATACAAGACAAGAAAGTAAATGGGCAGATTTGCAGTGACAGTTGCTACATTCATGCAAAATACATTCTGAATTTTTCAACAAAGCAGAGCTGAAATGATTTGAAATATCAATTTGCTGGTATGTAGCAAATTTAAGACAAAGCTGAAAAGTAACCTAGAAGAACTAACACACCACCTGTATTTTCAAGTACACTCCACTGTCTGGCTTGTGCAGGACATAAACACTTTATGCTGGAGTGTGGCTTAAAAGCACAGCCTTGAATGCAGCCACCTCAGATGTGTTTTTCCCAATCCTGTCAATCCACATTTTTTCCTGTATCCTGCCAGTGTGGACTCTCTGAACTCAGACTAACCACATACATGCAATAGGTTGTGCTCTTCTCTCCTGACAAACTATTTCAAGCTTTTGGTTTCCACCACCATCCAATGCCTTTTCCCACAAAATGTGCAGGAGTCACTCATTTATTTACCCCATGTTGGCGAGGAAGGAGTTGCTGGGTCCTGTGGGGGAACGAGGTCTCTCTGGCTCATCGTACACCGGGGGAGGAATTGCTGCTTTGGAAGAAGGTGCCCGAGGTCTTGACTCCTCCTCATATGGGAATGATGCTACAGCTGGAGAAAACAGACACATTTGGGGTTTTTCCAATAAAATCCTAACAAACTATGAAAAGGTCTTCCACATAAATCCAAATCAGAAGACTGTTTCCTTTGCACACTCTTGTTTTGACATCCCCTCACCTCCCTCTCTCTCTCGGAAACAACGTCTGAGTTATTCTGGGTTTCCCTCACTGGATGTAAATTTACACAGCATTTATTAACCTCTTATTAAATTGAGAAAAAGAACATTAAGAGACCACCTGCACTGCAAAGAGTTTATCTGGAGGACAAACTCCCATTCATCAGGAACAGAATTATGACCAAAACTGATCAATGGACACAACTCAAGGCCCAAGGACTGTAATAAAAATACACTGCACATTTGCAGAGAAGAGAAATCAGTCAATTAAAAAGAATAAATGCAATTAAAAAGTTGCATTTATTCTTTTTAAATTAAAAATTTAAAAAGAATAAATGCAACTCTTCTCACTGGGAATTTCTGAACTGCAGCTATTCCTGGGGATGGAGATGAATCTGAATATCTCAATCATAGTTGAAATTAGATTATTAAATCACCTTCCACTGACAAGTCAAATAGCAAAATGGAAAAAAAAAAAAAAAGCCTACAAGAACACTAGAAAAAATCACTTTTGAATGGACTTGTGGACTTTTATCAGACTGACCTAATTTTAGAATATTTTCTTGTACACTAGCTCTTGTATCTTAACAAATAAAAGGTCAGACATGAAGTTTGAGGATATAATATGAAGAAAAATAATTCCTATTAAGCAGAAAATGGACTGGACTGTGGAACTTTTGCTACACCAACAGTTTCTTGTTTTCTTCCAGCCTGGACTTGAGCATCAAGTAAGAAGCAATACAAAGGTTTCCTTGTCACATTTTAGAAAGCTCTCCCCTTAAGGATATTTCTGTTATTTCCAGCCTGTATTTACTTTTCCTTGACACTGATCAATTGCTGTTAATTATTTACTCAAAACAGTGTCTTTCTGTTTTGAATGTTTATACATATCAAATGCTTTCACTGTATCATTTACTTAAGCTTTGAGATATATTTTTACATTTTAATCTTCTTATAAATACAATGAGGACTCCCAAACAAAAGTTTGTGTGCATAAGGTTTTTTCTTCTTACTATTTTTTAAAGTAGAAACATACTGGTAATTATTTTAAATTTTACAATTTACAACAGACAGTTAGAAAAAAAAAAGGGAATGATTTTGTTCCTATAGCAGGATGATGCCATCTCGTGGACAACTGAGATCCTCACACCACCACTGCACACAAATCTCTTCAGCTAAACTGCATCCTGGAAAAATACATAAAATTCTGTCTCTAGTGCATAACTCCTTTAGAAAAAATATTCACTAAGTACCTCCTCAAGGAAAGAGCAATGGAAAAATTTCCTCTCCAGATTGTGGAGGTTTTTAGTCTACCCAGAGAAACCTGCCTGTGACATTTCTTCTTTCACATCAGAAGTGAGTAGCTGCACATGGTTGTAAGAGCCCAGTTTGCCAAGCCAGTTGTCCAGCAATACAGAAAGATTTCTTCAGAACAGAGATGCAAAGCAGGGCAGCATCACAGGTCCCCCCCAGCCTCCCCCCATGAACAAAGAACTTGTTCATGTCCTGCTGCTACAAAGAATCCAATGGGAAAAGCAGGAAGACTTAACTAAATAGAAAGTTGAGTAGGCAATGAACACTGCTGGGTTTAGAGAAGAGTATTTTGGAGTACTCACGCTCTTTGTCCTTCTCCACGAGAGAAGTGGGTGGTGCAATGGCAGCTCCTCCCATACCTATGAGCAAAATGGAACACAACACATTTGGAGGATATCACAACAGACTTGAATTGTTTACTGTAACTCTGCTGCTGAAAGAGAATAAAGACTAGTTTTGTTTATGCAAAGACATATTTCTGACCCACATCACCTGACAAGCTTGAAGGGCACTGATGTAACAAATGCAGGAATGAATTGCTACAATAGTGAATTCTCACAGCCTGATTTTATGTCATGCCTCATTCCTCCCCTGGAACCTACACCCTAGAGAAACTTACAACAGGTATCTACAAACTAAGGTTAAACAGAGATATTTCCACAAGTAATTTGGCTGCCACCTGCCTCCATGGAAAAATTACAACATAATATAATGTAGAATGCCAGTATTCTACATTACATTATGTTGTAATAAAATGCCAGATTTATTCTAAAGGTTCAGAATTAACAGTGTACAGAGAAAAACGGAATGCATGAAACAGGATGTGAATTCCCCTCCCTCTTTTTCTCCTCTTTCCACATCAGAACCATAAGCAGCTGCCTTACTTCTTTTCCGTCTTTCCCTTTCATAATCTTCATCTTCATCAGAATCTGGATCTGGTCGTCTTGAAAACCCACTGGCTTCATGTCTGTCTTTACGCCTTCTAGGAGACACAGCAAGTTAGGATGAGAAACCATGGAAGTTAACTCTTGGTTTTAATTTGTGATCCCACCTCTGCAGGGTGAATTATGCTGCTCCACCCAACTGGCATTTAACATGTTTCTTATGAAAGTGCAAATTAACACCTTCACCATTTGTTTCTTTGCTTTTATCATCATGGGGTATTTTTGGTTAAACAGAAGATGGATCTAAGCCAAGATAATTTTGCACTTGTAAGTCAGCCAAGAAGAATGCATGGAAAGGAGGAAGCACCTGAATAAATCCTGTCCAAACAGAACAGAGTGACTGAATGACTACTGTGGAACAGATGTTGGATGGAACACAGAGCAAGGTAACAGACATTGATTAAATCAATCACCCTGCTTTGGACAGAATCCCTTTTACATTTCCCATCACAGGTTATACAGAGTAGTATCACTTAGTGAATAAAAAAATATCCTCATGCTTAAACATCAGATTATTGAGGCGCTTGCTTGGCAATTAAAGTAAGATTCAGGAATAATTTCTAATTTGAAGTAAAGAATGCTTCAAGATTTGTTTGCACTTCAGCTGTTATCTGATGTGATAAGGAAATTACTCATTTTAATACAAGAAAAGGAAAAGCACTTTTCCTCGAAAGTGAAGTGCACCACCTGGTGCACAAATCAAATCTCATTCCTAGCACAGCCACCAAAACTGTGCTAAAGGATGACAAAAACAGCTCTACTGTGGAACCACACAGAATTTCTCAATCTCTACCCTATGCAATCAAAACAAATGTCCAGCCTGAACTTCCAAAGCACACATCTGATGAAGGTTTGGCTGAGATTGTTTCCTCAGTTTAAAATCAGAATTTATTAGGCATTTTTCACCTCTTTTCTCTACTGTTAATATGTGTAAAGACTCTTGGCCCACACACAAGTATAAACACAACCGAAGAGCAGCCAGTGCTAGAGCTGTGGGAATGACATCCCAGATTCCTGAGGTCTTGCATGCCAGTATTTCAGAGCCTCAGGCATTCCTTCTCCATCAAAACAACAAAGATATAACCAAGAGAAAAGAGGGAAGACCCAGTGACTAGAGATATAAATTTCCACAATCTAAACACGGCAGCAAAACTGTAATTCCAGACTTCAGATGATTCGTACTGTGATGAGCATGGTTTATTCACTTCACTTGAAATGAGCAAATGTAATCTTCTGCTTGGCTGGCAGACATTTTATCACTTAGAACAATCAGATACTGAATCTGCATTCAACTTCCTTAACAGGATTACAGAGATTTCTTATTTCAGGGAAAGGGCATTCAAATAAAGCAGTATTTTCTTTTGTCCAGAGACAATAGATTAATAAACACATAATTAACTTACTTGATAATTAAATTACTGATTGCAGAGTATTAAAAAAGGAAATGCAATTATGCCTCTCAAAGGCTGTACTAGCTACATTTAAAACTGAATTAATCCATGGGTAAGTTTATAGTTTTTAGAAGCAGAAAGGATGGTTCATTACTGAGTGCTGAAAAACTTTTTCTGTAGTCAGGTGACAATGACATCAAATGCTCTGAAACACCTGCAAGGTCAAAGTCTAATAACGATGCATGAAGCACCCAAATATTGCCACTATTATTGAAACAAAATAAATTTAGAATATCTTTGACAAGGTCTTTCACCCAAAGAGGCTGCAAAGTTGATAATTCTTATTGTTTTTGCACTGTTTGGTGATTTTTACCAAGAGCACTAAAACATATTAATTAAAACACTGCTCTTGTTTCTACAAGCATGCAGTATTCACAAACCCTCTAAGAACTTCCAAGAATAGAGAGAGATAAAATTAAACAATTGACATGCCTATTTAGATAAAAATAGGCCAAGCCTTTAAACAAAAGCCTTACTTTTCTCTCTCTTCAATCTCCTTCTGCCTCTCCAGCTCCCGCTGCCGCTGCCGTTCCTCCCTCTGACGTTTCACCACTTTTTCGTAGTCATTTGGGAACATGGGATCATACTCATCTGCCAGGGGAATCAACACATCTCCTGCAGAAAAACCACTAGGGACAGGATCCTGGAAAAAAGAGAAATTCTTTTTTAGCTGAGATCTGAAAACAACACCCAGCTGGAAACAAAAATTTAACACTTCTGATTCCTGACTTCTGTAATGTCAGGCAATATCCTAATCCCACTGGTGCCAGAAGAAATCTTGGCTTTTACTTAAACCTAACATTTCATCCAGTCTCACATCAAATTTTTCCCATGAAGAAAGAACCAGCCCCTCCCCTTGCAAAATGCAAAGCAGCAGCAAATCAACACGGACAGGAATTTTTCACACCCCACTAATGCATTATTAGAAACTTTATGACATCTTCTTGCTGCAACCATCTGCCAAGGTCCTCCCACACAATCTCATCAGGCTTTTTATTAGCTGTTATTAATATAATACCAACAGAGGCACACAGGCTGTTCTCCTCCAATCTGGAAGAACCATTTCAGAACTTTTCCTTTGAAAAAGCTGCAGGGAGAGAGTTTCTCTTGATTCCTTACCACGAGAAATCCATTTAAAAGGTTAGGTGGCTTTAGTTATTTTACTTTTCAGTTGTTTATTACACAGATCCAGTTCTGTGCAAACACAATTATAGTCATTATTTAGGTGCCCAAATTGCTGTTTAGCCAAGTTATTTGAAGCTGTCCAAGATTCTAAGAACACTGTTTTATAACTGCACATTAACTGTGGTAATTCCATGCTGTACCACACGTAAGTCTGAATGAAGTTGAAATGTTAATTAAAGAACTCTCAGCAGAGGAAGATATTCTCAGAAAATAAACACTTTTTTGACTGCTAGGAAACATTCAACTTCCAAAACATCTGGAGCTTTTAGCTGCCCTGGTCTCACCTTTAGCCCAGCTGCTACATGAGGGGGTGTGTCCACGATCTGTCTCTCATCAGAGGAGCTGCCTCGTTTCAGGTCAATCACTGGAGCAAGGACTGTGGTTTGTTTTGTTCTCTGACTCTGCAAAAATCACCAAAACACACAATGTCTAAAAAAAGGTAAAGCAGTTTTCTGAAAATCAGCTTACTTGATATACTTTGCTGTGGTAGGTGAATGGTCCTAGGTTTTGACTGCGAGCAGAAACACACATTAAAAATTCATCCAATCACTTCAGGTGAGTTTGAACTGAGTTAGTTTCTAAGAAACTCAGGTTTATTCCAAAGATCTACTGTTCTTCCCATTTATCATCAGATAAAATATTTTCAACTCTTCTGAACTCTTGAGTTTTCTAATCCTATCCTATTCTTCTGCTGGACTATGGATACACTGCACATCAGTTACATGGACAAAGAATATAACTAATACAGCAGTCAGGAAATTTCATCCACGCAGTTTGTTCCAATTATCAACTAAATCCTGCTCCCAATTTCAGCAGCATAAAACCAGGAGTAATTCCAGTGGAAAAATGCTGTGGCTATTTAGGTATCTGGCATCAGTGCTACTGCTTCTTTTAATTAATTAGTTTCACAACAAAACCTACACTGCCCCAAAGAGCACCTGTGTCCTACCTGAACCAAAATATCAACACTGCTCAAAGAAAAAGGATGAAATATCAAGAACCAGCAATAAAAAGAGAAAATGGCTCTGTCACAGTCTAATAAGAGTCAGCTTGCACTCCTCCTTTTCATCTACTCTGGAAATACTTGCTGTAAAAATGTCTAATACATCATGATTTGCAGGTTAGCACCAACAGCCTTTAAATAACAACCATAAAATGATGCAAACACGTAACTAATCAATCACAGAGTGACCCTTTTACATTAAAAAGTAATTTTATAAAGCTGAATCTCATTATCTTTAAAGCTAAACTTGATCAGCTTTTGGCTCTGCTGGCTAAAAGCTCAGATGTTTGCAGCACATACATCAGTGCTCCCTTCAGTTTTTATTTTGCAACACTCCCTCTAAGAAAAATGAATTTTCCCTTTTTCCCCTTCAGCTTTGCCAGGCTCTTTGCTTCAAACCCACAGATAAATGCCAGCAAAATTACCTCAAATGAGTATTCTGAGGTCACAAACACAATGCACTGAACACAAAAGTCTGAAAAACAGAAAGGGAACGTACCTTAGCTTGTGTGAGAGCTGCTTTCTTCACCTGCAACTGAGACTGCAGCAGTTTGAAATTCTTGGACCAGCCTTCTGTTTTGGAATCGCTGGTCTCAACCCCCAAGTCATCGTAAAGTGACATTTTCTCTTCAATTTAAAACTGAAAGACAAAAGGAAAAAAAAAAAAACCTCCAGATGACACCACAAACCTACTTCCAGGTTATTTGCTAATAGTTTGCATATATGGGTACACAACCTTTTCTTTCACTTTTCCTAAAGCCAGAGAAAATGGACCTTTTTCTGGCTAGTGGTAAATACACATAACTAGAGCAAAGCTGTATAAAAGTAACAGTTTGAAAGGTGATGAGCACTGTTCAAGAATTAATTTAATCCTGCAGTGAAATATGAACTATTAGGGCTCAATAGGAAGAAGTTTACTGCAAAAAGAAAAATGAAGTTTTGAACATTATTACATACCTGGCCTCAGGATGAACACAGAGGGGGTTATAAAGGCACAGATGCACAGGATGGGGACAGGGTGCTGTAGGAATTCCCACCTGCCACAGAGCAGTGGGATTTTGGCATCAGAACTGATGCTATCCAGGGGGAGACAACATGCACTGGGGAATCACAGAATGGATCAAGTTGGAAAAGACCTCTGAGATCATCGAGTCCAACCCTCGATGCAGACCATCTTGTCACCCAGATCAGAGCACTGAGTGCCACATCCAGTCTTTCCTTGGACACCTCCAAGGAGGGGGACTTCACCACCTCCCTGGGCAGTGTGTTCCAAACCTTAACCACCCTTCCTGACAAGAAATTCTTCCTCATGTCCAGCCTGAACCTCCCCTGGCGCAGCTTGATGCCATTTCCTATCGTCCTGTCGCTTGTTACCCGTGAGCAGAGCCCGATCCCCCCCGGCTGTCCCCTCCTGTCAGGGACTTGTGGAGAGCGAGAAATTCCCCCCTGAGCCTCCTTTTCTGAGCCCCCCCGCCACTCCTCCTCAGACCGCTGCTCCAGACCCTTCCCTGGACAACGTAAGGACGATCACCGCGGGCAATAGACGAGGCAGCGAGGCACAGCGGCTGTCCCCACGACAAAAGGAAGGGCGGGCTGCGATCTCCGTCGCTCTGCGAACAGAGGCGGCGAGCAGGCCTTGACGCCCCCGCCCCCCCCACCTTCCACACAGGCCCGGACCCCTCCGAGGACCCGCTGAGCGTGGCACACCCGCCCTGCCCCGCCCTGTGTCCCCACACCCCGCAGGACCCGCAGCCGTCTCCCCACACGGCCGGGCCGAGCCCAGAGCCACCGCTCACCCGCCCCGGCGCCGCCGCCGCCATGAGCCGGCGCTGAGCACGCCGGGAAGGGCCGCGCCTGCGCACTGCGCCCCGAGCCGCCGCCGCGCCAGCGCCTCCCGGCGGCGGGAGGAGGGGGCGGCAACGCCGCCATTGCCGCCCCTCACGGCCGCCTCAATACGGACTGGGAGGGCGGCACGGCAAATCCCGGGGAATGGGAGAGCGGCACGGCAAATCCCGGGGAGTGGGAGAGCGGCACGGCAAATCCCGGAGTGCAGGAGGCGGGTGGAATGCTATCCCCGTCCCAGCTGCCCTCCCAGCGGCGGAGGAGCTGCCCAGCCGCAGAATAAGCCCGGGTTCCTTCGGGTTCTCCGGGTGCACGGCGGGTGTGATCTGAGCTCAGAGCTTTTATTTAATCATAGAATCCCTGAACCACCGAGAGCGTCCGAAGGAGGCCACGGGGGTGGGGAAGGGTTTGGAGGGGAAGCCCTGAGGGCGCTTGGATTGTTTAGGACCGCTGGACAGCCTCTCTGGAGTCTGGAGCGTCCTCCCGAGAGCGGCAGGGCCGGCGCTGGTCTCTGTGGCGACTGTGACAGCCCCCGAGGGCAGGGCTGGATTTATGCCCAGCGCTGTTTGCTCTGGATGTTCTACTATAATTTTCCATACCGTGTTTCTAACTCCTGAAGCAATCTGTGTGTAATTCATCAGTGAGTGACCTGTCTCCATTTCCATTCAGTATTTCCAGTTACTTGCCTAGGGCATCTGAGATTTTTGGGGGGGGAAATGAGACAATGATATGAGACTTCTGAGTCTGGCAACACAGTCGCACTGAGAAAGTTACGAAAACAGAAGACTTATTCCTCATCAAGTGCATTTCAAACAATTCTGTCTGTTATTCCAGCGTGTTTGCTGCCATTTTACTGTGCCATCGCTGCCACTGAGGTCATTGGGTAATTGTTTCTGCAAAATATTTGGTTATTAGAAGGTCTTGCTGCATTATGTAATTTGGGCCTGAAGTGGACTTGTTTGGTCTGCAAAAACCATTTTTATTTTCTAAAATCCTTGAAATTCTACATCTGTCTGAGCCTGGAGTTTACCCAACCGTACCAATTTCCCAGCCCAATATCTTGCACTAATTATTTAATATATATTTTTTTTTTACAGTGGCAAAAATGGATTTTCTCTGGTGTATCTCCAGCTCATACCAAGGACGTGAAATAGATGAGCTGAGTTTTCTAAGAATTATGGCCACTTGCACCACATGATGATGCAAATGAACAGGCAAGACTGTCTGCAAAGCCAAACACCAGCCTTGAAGCAGGTAGATCTGGCACCTCAACCACAAAATTTTACAAGCACTATCTCTGTATTAATCTGAAGGTCTTTATCTCCAGCATTGCTTCTGACTGTGTTACTGTGCAGTTTATTTCCCTGTGGTTAGCTGAAAAAATAAATAAAATAAAGCTACTACTTCCTCTCCTACTTATGCTGCTTTCTATTAACCCAATCTTTCTAAAAACATTTACAGATGTCTATTTTCATAATGACAGTGAAAACTCCTTAAATATAAGAAGAAATTATCTTTATTTTTAGAGGATCTGCCAAGCATCTACCTAAGGTTTTTGCTTTAGCAATGCCTGTGTTTTTTAAAGGAAGGATTGATACAATTCACACAAATGTAACCTCATGGAAGAAAAAAAAAAATCAGCAAGACACTCCTTTTACAGCATAAGCATCCCACTGAGAAAAGAACTATGTGTCCTGTGTTAAAGGAAGGAATCAAATAGTTAATTGCATCAAAAGGTACAAGAGAAATCCCTGTGTGTTTAATGCCACAGAGCAATATCACAGCATGACAGCCGCTGGGAGAAACTCAGAGGAGATCAGAGGCTGCAAAGGCGGAAAACACGAGAGCCACGGGAGATTTCAGGTCCTCCTCAGAGCAACTCATAACAGGGAGGGTAAAGGTTGAATTATCAGACCTGTAAATAACTACCTATTAAAGCCATGAATCAGATAACTCACAAGGAGAGAAGCAGCTCTTGGTTAAGCCTGGAAAGTGCAGTAGGCATGGATCAAAACTGATCCATCGCTGTAATAATAGCCACAGAGTATTTGTACACACCCACTCAGGAGCAAAGGAGCCAAGAAAATCCTTCTCATTAAATTCAGGGAGGCTGCAGGAGATAAAGAAACCTCACCCTGCTGCCAAGGTCCTAGACAGACTGGAAATGGAGGAGAAATATGTGAGCTCATCCCCAGCACTGCACATCTTGAAGGTGGCTTAATTGTGGCTGAAATATTTTCATCTGCCAAGGTGAGGGAGCACTGGCCAGCTCTGTGCCTCCTACAGACCCTCACAGATGTTGAAGTCTGATCTTCCAGGTATTTTTATTTTTTTTCCATTCATGTTTCAAACCTTTCCATGGTGGTGCTTTTCCTCTTGAATCCCACCCATGATTTCTGTGTCATGAGTTCTACATCTGTACCTGCCTTTCTAATTTCACTTGGCTCTGTCTTTATGTTTTCTTGCAGCTCTTTTCTCTCAGCTTCACAATTTTCTTATCATTTTGAGATAAGTTTGATGCAGCTGAGTCTCTTGAACTCCGAGGAGAGGAGAGGAGAGGAGAGGAGAGGAGAGGAGAGGAGGATTATGGAGATGGGATTAATTACTGGGAGGTCCAAAAAGCTGTGGATAAACTGATTTTCCCACTGTGAGAAGAGCCACAAGCTTTGGTTGGAACCCCTCATTGTACCAACAGGCCACCTGGAAAAGGTGAACAGCCAAGGTGGTGAAATCTGCTGCAAATCCCAAGTTTTTCAGAGTAATCAGCCAAAAGCTGGAAGGAAGAAGTTGCAGAAGGATGGTGTGGCACTGGCTGGGTGATGAGATGGCAGATGGGACCCAGTGTTAATGAATGCAAAGCAATGCACACAAGACAAAATAGCACTAACAAAACACACACAGCAGCAGCTCTAAATCAGCTGCTTCCATTAAGGAAAGAGATGCTGCATTCATTGTGGATAATTTTCCTGAAATGCCTACTTAGTGAAGGAAGGAAGCAGGAAAGCAAACAGGCTGCTGGGAAGCATTAAAATCTTAAAAAAGGAGAAAGTATCCTCATAAATCCAATGTGCACATTCACGTTTGAGTGGCCACCTGCACTCCTGGGTATCTCATCCTCTCCAAGAAGCAGCAGTGCAACAAAAAACCTAAAGAAATCAGATGTGTTGGGTGAAAAGAGGCAGCTGAAGGGGACGCTGGAAGCATCAAGCACCCAAAATGGTCCAGAAAAGATAAATAGGGAGTTCTCATTTTTCTCCCTGATGGTGATCTTTAAGAATGGGTAAAATAAAGCAGTGCTGGGAAAAAAAAAAAAAAAAAACCAAAAAACAAACCAGCCATTAAATGTCTCATTTATGTATGATTTCCCTAAAGCATTGATAACAGTTTTTGGTGAATGATTTGTTTTATGTTACAGATCTCCTCTGAGGGTGAGGGCTGTTAATATGCCAAAATGGCATTAGAGGGCAGTACAAGGCAACCTAACTGGAGTTTTTTGGGGTGGCTGTGAGAAACCATCCTTTAGAACACCTGATGATCAGGACAACAGAGTGGTTCCCACTCACACAAGTGGGAAATGGTTGGGGTCAGCACGAGGCACAAAAGCAAAACACGAGGGCTGATCAGAGCAGTGTCAACCTGCTCAAAAAGTTTTAAAATCCCATTAAATGGTGGTTTCCAGCCAGTGGTGGAGATCCCAAGTAGAGAACTAACCCTGCTACGCACCACACTTTTTGTGGTGACCCTGCCAGAGCCTCCAAACCTTTCTGGATTTGATTTTACTTTTTTTTTTCCCCCTCCAGAAAATGCTTGCTGTTATCCTGCCAGTGATCTTCAGCTTTGCCTACAGGGCAAAATGAAATATAGTGACAAAAGTCCCAGAGGAAAACTTGTCCTGGCTTGGGAAGATCGACTTAGGTTTGCTGCCTTAAAAAAACCCCAAAACCCAAACTTCAGGCAGTAGCAACCTGAAGGAATTGAAAATGGTTAGAAAGGCATTTGAAATATTCTTTCTTCTCCTAAGGGAACAGCTGAAGATGTGATTGTGAAAGCAGTGAAGGAAACAGTGCCTTTTGCCATATACAGAATAACCCAAATCCCCAGAAAATTGTGGGGGTTTTTCCCCTATTTTTTACTTGCTTCACAGTTTCACCTAGTTTCATATTTTGGCTGAGTTCTATAACTAAAATGAGTAAGAAATGTCTCAGAACAGAAATATTTCACAGATGAAGTTTCCAACACACATACTTCAATATTTTTGATGACAGCTGAAAAAAACTCCATTGCTTTTGACTCTGCACAGGGAGTGTTTTTGTTCGGCCAGCCATGGGAAAAAAAAAAAACCAAACCATGCTGTAAATGAGGAAATGACCATTTTGTCCTACCACCACGGTCTCAAGCTTGTTTGAAGAAGTGAGAAAAACATCAAAAACACAGCATTGAAAATATTACACATGACTAGACTCAGTACAGATGGGATATCTGCCATCACTGAGGAAAAAAAAGGGCTGTGCAGCTTTGGTAGAGGAAGGATTTGGATAAGAAATTATTCAGAACTCCCCCGT